TTTGTTAAGTTCGATTAAATCTTATTCTTTGGTAGTTATATTCATATTCGTGAAATACATATTTATATTCGTGAAATATTACTGTGATAGTCAAAGTTAAAGAAACATTCAATTTAATAAAACAAATTTTCTTTAGTTCTAACTGACAAGTTGTGAGTTAGATCGCTGTATTGCGCTAAATTCTTTAATTGGAGTATAACTTGATATCAAAATTAGAGTAAGAACGGAAAAAGAAAGAAAGGAGAGAGGAGGAGGGACAAGAACAAACACGTGTACGAACGTATCAATATATATATAAAATATTTAAAAATATTATCAAGTTCGAAACTCCACAGTTTCAGTTTGTAAATTTAATTTTTGGAATTTGTGTTATTCTGTATAGTCTGTGTTTAATTTATTATAAAAAAATAAATAATATAGAAACAAATAATCGCACTTTTTTAATCGCGCATCATCATCATCGCAATGTCGTGCTGAGCCAATTGTTTAGTTCTAATTTGTAAGTGTCATGAATTGTAACTACTAGTAGTCAGCAGTTCATGATGTTTTGTAATTCGATATAAAGGTTCGAGTCCAACAATGTATACGCGACGAAAACGTAATGTAATTTGAAAGCCATGCGTCGGAATTGCATGAAACTTTCAGGAAATGTTAGCAATACCGTTACGGATATAACGATGCCGTTGCGGTAACCCTGGGGCGTCTCATTTCCCTATATATCACACAAACACATAGGGTTAAGTGCGGTTTACCAATTACGCGGTTAAATGCCGTTATGTTATCACATTTCTCCTAGAAAATTAACTGAAATCGAAGTCACTCGTTCGTTCGTTCTTTTGTATCAATACACTAGCGACAATTCACTTGAGACAATAGTCAATTTTATAACGATTATAATCGATTATATTAAAATTTTATGTTTTATTCGGCGTGATCCATTAACGAAAGTTATCGAAAGAGCATTAATATTGGAAAGTAACACGAATGTCGATATCTTTAGAAGTAAATCTACTGAATGGAATAATACAAAAATGTTATACGAACAAGAAGCGTTCAAGCTTTATTTCGATTTCTAAGAAATCGGAGAAGATAGTTAAAATATTCCAGTACCTCGGAAAAGGTACTCAAAATATATAGAAGTGAATGGTTTGGTATCTTCTGTAAATATTTTCATTTTTAACACTTTAGTATTTGCACGGAGAAAAAAGTGTGAAAATATAACATAATACCAAACGCGTATTAATTTGTTTTAATTCGCTTATTGTCACATCAATTTAAGCAATTTTTTCTCTTCGTACGGAGAGTAACAGTAATATTTTAACACGGAAAATCAATTCCAAATAAGAGCAATATTAAATGGATTTGGAAGAGTATATAAAACATCTAAATGCGAAAAGTTGTATGGGAGGTTAGAAGGGAAGGGGACAAGATTATACTTTCAGAATTTTGAAGTTATAACTTTTCAAATAACTAATTATTGACTGTATAGATATGATAATAATAACTTTTTTCTATGTTTATGTCATTTTATAAATAATGTATTTTGTTCTATAATAATATACTACAATATGAAACATACTTCAATTAGTTAGCCATCTAAAGTAAGGACATATATAAAATACGACTTTGCATACTGAGAAATATTTATCTAGAACTATTTTATCTTAGAACTATTCCGTAATAAATAAAATTTACTATATTTGTTTCACTTTAGAAAACTATAAAGACATATTTTCAATAGCCAGAATATAGTAACTTTTAGCTAGAATAGACCAACTTTACTTCGTCCGTTCATATATGTAGTTCAATCATTTTATGAATGAAAATTACTATCATTACTCGAAACAGTATATCATACACTTGTAAGGAAACTTCATTCTAACAAATTACGTTATTTAAGTTTATTCAATTACAATAAAGAATATTAATACGAAATATCAAGACATTAAAAAATGTATTCGGTAACATCTAAGTCAAATTTTTTACTTTTGAAATGTAATATTAACCCGATATAATAGGACTCAGGGAAAAGTATCTGTGTTCTAATAGAATATTTTGTGATTTTTTTTCCATTGTTTCTGTTACGATAAATACAAAAAAAACAAAAAAAGACATAGCCATATAACTCTTCTATGAAAGTAACATAATCCTCCTATATCATCTGTCAAAGTTATAATTGAGATTAAAGTTAACACACACATACCTATTTGCATCAAACATATAAGTTGATATAAATTAATTTCATCTAGTCGTAATCACGAAAGTGGACAATCGCAATTTTTTACTAAAGATGATTAAAATCACATAAATAAGGCGTTTTTTATTATTATTAAGTCTGTTTTATTATTAAGTATGTAAATTAATTTGTTTCTTTTAGCTTTATGTGTTTCTAGATATCATTTAAAATTATTTAAATATTGTACCATGCTACTGTAAATTTGGTATCACGGATATTTTTCACAAAACGTCCTTGAAGATGACAGGACAAGCAACATTAACCAGTTCACTAATGACCAAAAATCAACGTTTCGTGCTAAAAATAGTGAGAGCGAATAATATTGTATTTTATATGAAAGCTTATCTATAAAAGGTTTTTTGGGTCGATTTACAAATCCGGGGTCGAAATTTTAAAATTCAAAATGGCAGATCAATATGGCATTTTCAAATAGCTAACTTCGATATTCCGTTATGGATACGTATCAAACTCGGTATGTGCATGTTTTTTCGAACACTGATGACGAATACAAAAAAAAATAAAAAACAAAAAATAAAAATAAAAACAAAAAATTAAAAAATAGAAAAAATAGAGTGTAAAATTCTATCGTAGCTTCCACGTGGCGCACTTTCGAGTCGTGATATTTCACCAGCTAATTATGGAAATAAGAGTAAACATAATGGAATACCATTAGTCACTAGAAGTAACCATTTTGGGTCTGCCATGTTGAATCCGCCATGTTGATCCGCCATTTTAAATTTTGTAATTTTGACTTTGTATTTGTCATTAGTGACCGAAAAAACATGCATATATCGAGTTAAATACATTTCTATAATGGCATAACAAAGTCAGCCACTTTAAGCCGCTATATTGGATCCACCACTATGAACTTCTCAAATTTGACTTCAGATTCATAATCAGCGACCCAGAAGCCTTACATATACTAAATTGTGTGCAAATCTGTTAAAAATTGGCAGAGTTATTTAAGATGCGTTGTTACCAGTTGTGGTACTTCTTTTTTTCTCGCATATATACAGGTATGTCCCGCGTAAGACATATGAAAAAAAAAATAGAAGTAGAACATATAAAAGTGAACAAAAATTGTATAGGTCATTTTTCATACAACCACGTAAAATTTCGAGACATTAATTAAAATAGTTGGGCATATCAGAGCGTGGCAATGCGGCAGGCGGGACATACGGCTCGCCGCGGTCGGCAAATATAATGGAAGATCGCATACGTACACGGACGCATACACGGAGCTACTCATTTCGGTATGCCAAACGGTCCACCTCTCTGACCTATAAGATAGGCAAGCAATCGTCCCTTTTTTTCACCGGCCGCAGTGAATTTGTGTTCTACTTATATTTTTCTTTTCGTACGTCTTACGCGGGACACCCTATATATATCATTACTAGTGAACTGATTAATGTAAGAAATATTAATAAACATAATTATCAACAGCAACGTATATATCCGTCAAGGTGTATTTTTCGTATTTCAATTGGGAAAAAATGCCGCTAAAGCTGCTGAAATGCAGCTATTAATAAACATTTAATAATTAACAGATTAAACGATAGATTATAAAACAAGAGATAGATAAGATAGACTAAACAAAGAAGCCGAAAAGCCAAGTTATTTTATAGCATGATAATTCTTAGCTGCGTGTAACGAAAAGAAGAAAACCAAAAAGATTATCTTTAATCTAGACTGGGAAGCTTTTTCTTACGCGACTTATTTGCCAGACTTGACTTTTTCAGATTACCATCTATTTCGATCATTCATCCGTCAGAATGCACACTTACAGCATCATCCGTCAGAATGCACACTTTACAGAAATTTAAAATATTAAAACTAGACTCAAAATTTCCCGATTTCTATTTCAAGATGGAATTAAGAAATACTTCGAAAGATAAAGTGAAAAGTCATTAAAAATAATGGAGATTATTTTAATAATTGAGAATATGACACTTTCTTTAAATAAATTTTGATTTTTCTAAAAAGAAGCACTGAATTAATTTATACACCTCCTAGTCGAAAATGAATCAGTCGCTAACTTACTAAAAGCTGATTACGTCACACTTGGAGCATTCAGAAAGAATTCAAGTCTGCCATAATCAGCTTACTGTAAGCTATGAGACCGCTTCATTTTTGACTGGGCTAATACATTTGACGTCAATCTAAAAAAACAAAATTCAATTATATGAGTATATTTTTTAAGTCTTCTAATAATGTGTAAATGAATTAAGAGAGAAAGAGAATGTGGTAATCTTTATACGTAAAATACGTTCTTCACAGTTTTCTCTAGATATATTCTTCGACATATTATTCGCACAATTATATTTTTTCATCGTAACTATATCGAATTATAGCGTAGAAAAACAGAAATCCTGTGTTCCTTTTCTTACATTGCATGTTGAAATGAATAACTTACCATCACTCACGCTCGACAGTGTAAATATACTTCAAGCTCCCACTCTAGTTTGCTGATTAATAAACAAATGTAAATACCGATCGCAAAATTCATTTTCTTTATGTGGACCAAATGTGGATTGAACTACACGTCTATATACTGACGCGAAATAACAAAAAGGAAAATTTTTCAAGTATTTCACCAATGCCCACCCTATTTTGGTTTGAACGTACGAAGAAGTTAATTTGTTCCGACGTATACATCTTGCAGGGAAGCGATTTCTCACTTCCAACGTCGTAATCGTCGATATGGCTACAATTACGGTGCAGTCTTGAAAAGCGAACCTGTATACTTTGGCGCTTACGAGCTTACCTTGATCGTATATTGTCTGCAGAGCGGCTTGTAAGCATTTGTGCCGCAAACGAGGAAGCGATCGGGACCCTGCCTGCCAAATACTCGCACATAGTTTTGGCAGTCATCGTTATCGCGGCCCTTCAAGTAGCAAAGCTGGAAATGCGCCTCCGTGCTGGACCACTGCAATCTCTGAAACAGGCAAGATCGAGCAAACATTACTAACCCAGACTCCCTCGGTCGACTCCACGTCGCGTACACTACAAAGTGCGCGAGTTTGTACAGTAAAATCCGATTAGAGGTCAGCCGAAGATTAATATCCTCGTATGAAAATTTCGACGGATCTTAATCCCCTTATCTTCAATAAAGGAAATGAGAGAGAGAGAGAGAGAGAGGGGGGGGGGGAGGAAAGAGAGGGACTATCGATTTGCAGTACTGCTATTTTGGCGTACTTGCTCTCCTGCGCGCACAAGAACTCGGTTTAATCACTTTCTCGAATCGCAATAACATGTACAAATTACCGCTTCACTTCGGCATGGATCTGAAACTGAATCCGTAAAAAAAAAAAATAATATGGAGAGTCGCTTTAACGTGACTATATAAAGTATATCACTTGCATGAGTCGTACGATAAAGTAAATTGTATGACGCGAGTGTGCGTTCTCAAATTGTCATTTCGGTGAAAAAAACGACGGTAGAGGAAACGTCATCATGGAGAACGATGAAATTTTTTAACCCGATGACGACGCGACCGTGATAATAATGATGGCGTGTCTGTTTATATGTTTGTGTTCTTTTCCTCATGGGTACACGTATTCAAATCAACGAGAATGCGTAACATATTCTATTATTATTCTTTACTTTGAGATACATCGACGAATAACGATCAGTCCTTCGCTAAAGGAACTACACTTTCAGACTTCGACTTCGTTCGGGTCGGGTAGATGCATCAAAATCATACTCTCTTATCATCCTCATTCGAAACGCTTCGTAAATTACGAATATCTAAAAAACGTCAAGAGCTGTTTAACCTAAGATATTAAATCTTCGAGTTCATAGTTGATTCGCGATATAAACACAAAGAGAATCTTTCTCGTTCATATTTCCAGGAGAAATTCACCATGCTGGTCCCGAAATATTTCATTCGTATTGAAGCATGTATCTGAAATCTATTAATCGCAATAATAAAATAACAGGGTATTATATCATAATTGCGTAATAATATATCATTGTAACGAGAAATGCGAATATTTTCTCTGTCTTATGAATATGCAGGATAGTCAAAATATAATTTATCAACACACAAATATTCTATATAAAAATCAACCCCATTAACAACATTAATTGCTAAAATAAATAGATTGTATAAGATTATATTAAGGTGAAGTAGACAACAAGTGAATACCAAATATTTTTTACGTGAATACGAATAAATTTACGAGATATTTTATATTTTGTATTGAACAAAGATAAAATAAAATGTAAAATAACGCAGAAAGTAGTTTCACTTTTCGATGATGTTACCCCAATACTTGCGTATGCAGAATGACCAGAGGAATCGATTTATACAAAAAAACCGTATAACCCCAGTTAAAAAATAAAAATTAACCAAGACAGAGTTTGTTAAGGTCAAATAAATATTACTATTCTTTTCTCCTTCAATATCCTATAACTTTCGTTGGAAACACTTTTTCAAATCTTTTTTAATTTCTGAGAGATTAAGCCGAAAAAAATTATATAGGCTATCACACACACACACACACACACACACACACACACGCACACACGCACACACGCCACACGCACACACGCACACACGCACACACGCACACACGCACACACGCACACACGCGCGCGCAA